ATTGTATTCTTATTCGCGAGAAAAACAGTCGGTGAACGAGGAACATTTCGCGCCTTGTTAGATAATCGTGCTGTTTGTTTCTTGTTGCGGGTGTTGTCTGGCGAACGATCGACATCGCGATTATGTCGTCGGGCAGCTGTACTATGTGGAAGAAAATAAATATGAGAAACAACAGCTGCGCCTCTGGGATCGAGAGCGTAATTTCGAGCTACAGCTTGAGTGAAAGTTATTGGTCGCTCAAGGGCGTTAAACAACCCCTCTGCTATTTACTTACTCGCTCTAAGGGAAGCACGAAAGATTGACTTTGAAATGGAAAGGGGTGTTTCTGATTGAGCGCGCTTTCACAATGATACTTTCCAAAAGGAAACCGATAATTCACACTTATTTCCATAGTAATAATTTTAATTATTACTAATTTTAACAAATAAAATCCGTCAAGTATAATTCAATTCCGCCTAGAGGGAAGAAAATTTCCTATTCACCTGTTCAAACAGCAGGTCTTGATTTTTTACATTTGCCAGGTAGAAAAGAAGAAATAAAACAGATGATGTATCGTAGCATTAAGCCGAAGAAACTCCACTTTGTCATTTCGGCAATTTATCAGGGATAAATAGAAGCACGCCCGTGAAGTTTTTCACATACGAACCGAAAACAGAACTTTTGTTCCCTGAGCGAGTTATCAAACTATTATAAAACATACGTCATACGAACTAATGATTCTTTTATCACGTTTTGCTTTTTTCCACCCTTTTCTTTTTTCTATTCAAACACGTGTAACGCTTGGAAAAATGTTAGTCGTGGTATTTTAGTGACAAAACTAAATCACTGGAATTCAATGATTTGAAAGTTCACAAAATTGACAATTTTTGATAAAAGGGTAAATTTTGAGAATTAAATAAAGAAGGATATTGCAGCTGTTATTTCAAGGGAATTGGTTCAGCCCGGAGTGTCTCTTAGTTAATTTTAACCGGAAGCTACGCGTACAGTAGACGTGGGATAAGCGAGAGTATGAATTTAGGGAAAAAGGGCAATGGTGGACAAGTTACGAGGAAGGAAATCGGTGAAAATCGTGCTCGTGCGAATCGTAAAACAAGAGAGATTTCGAATAACCATTCACAAGCAAAATCACGCTAGATTTTCTCCGGCTGATTGAACGCATGGATCGTCGCAGTAGAAAAGTCCATGTGTAGTCAGACATATTCTTATTAATTAAGCTTTTTTTTGAGTTCGAAACCTGTTTTGCAATAAAATCGCAATCACGCCTGCATAATCGTGGTTCGATAGAAACGATGTATCAGGGAAAATAAATATTCATTTACATTTACAAAACCATGAGGCCATTGGAACTCAAAGGATTTCAATAAACGTCCTCTGTGAAGCTTTGATGTTCATTTCCTAGAAGAATTTGGTAAAAATCGAAAATTCCAATCGGTCATAGTTGAAAATCTATTCTCTGGGATAAAAGATATTTCTTTTCTCGAATCTGCGGTGATTCTCGGGTTACAAAATCACTATGTTTGACGAACGAACACCGATGTAATCGGATAAACGGCAAATTGAAACCCGGTAATTGGTGCTGTCGATTATTTTAATGCCCGAATGAAACTGGCGACGAGCATAAAACGAGAATAGAATTGAAATTTCGCGAACACGATGCGACAGTTGTTCAGCGTCAAATTACTTCATCAAAATATTTCACGATAATTCTTCCAGTTAATCCCGTTGATACGTATTTTAAAAAATTCATAGTATACTGCACGAAAGTAAAAGAATTTTATCATAAAATATGTGCAAGGTAATTTAACCTGACGATGCATATCTGTTTAATTAAAATTCGAACAATTAATAAATTTATCATTTACAAAACCCCTGGGATATCATTGAATTATTAAAAATCGTGTCTCATGAAATTGTCAATTGCCTCTATTCCCCTGGTGTTGCAAATTTTACAAAAGGGTAGGCCCAGAAGGTTTACACAAAAAAAACAAAAAACGCTAAGAATGTTCGAATATAGAGGGCTCGATTAGAGAAACGCAACTCTGACACGTCAGTTGTTCGTTGCTGAAGTGGAACGTTAGGAATGCGAGAGAAACACACCCTGAACGAGAGGGTAGACATCAACTTAAAGCGAACCGTACGCGTCCCATAAAACCCAGACAACTAAACGCTATTCCCATCAAGCTAGCTACCCTGGTTCCTCGATAAAACCGCACATGGGCTGTGGGACCCTTCATGGTCTTCCACCGACACTGTCCAAAGGAGATCTTTTGCTTACCCAACCCTCGCATGTTTCTTCGACTTCTTAACGCAAAGTTACTCGTGCTGTGATCGGTCTCAATTGTACAGTACAGGATGTTGTAAAAATGACAACTTATCACTTTTTATAATTAAAAAGAAGATTAAAGCTTTTTACAAAAAGTGTACAGACCCTTGTGGATGACGAGAATTCTATTCTCTTAAGAGACAAGTCATCTCCTCTAATACCATAAAAGTGGCAATACAACATGTAAGTGGCAAGTCATCGTCCCCATCGCCCTGCGAAGATGGTGATACCCAATCTGACACACTTCCATCCCTTAAGAATTTCGGAGAAATCAAAACAATTTTGCCATTTATAAGGTGGTACACGAGTGATTCAACGATAAATGTTGCCCCGATAGGGAATCTCCCTAAAAGCTCCCCGAAAATCTCCCACAGAAATGGCACTGTCTTCAACGTTCGCCGCTTGATTCCATCACCACCCTACTTTTCTGCATTCGTTCCACCAACGAGAAAGCAGAAAAGTTGTGTCGTAACGCAAAAAAAAGAAGAGTATAATACCGTGTTCCGGGGACTCGTAACTCGTCAACGAATCGAAGGGGGCGAAAGACGAGCTGATTAATTCTACTTAAACGCAACGGTGCAACTTTCCTTAGCTTTTCTTTCGATCGTGGAAAGCAACGAAAAGTGGGTCGGATGAAAAGAAACTCCTACAAATCTGACAATCCGTGGTTTCCGTTTACCGGATGAGCTTTTTAAAGTGGCCAATAAGGGGTTGGCGTGGCAGAGGGATGGAGAGAAACAAAAAATTGTAGAGATAAGGTAATCCAACAGCAATATATCTCGGTGAAGTTCGGGTTTCCTTGGAAAAAGAAAGAAGAGAAAGTGGGTAAAACCGATGGAAAGGGAGGACCGAGGATAAATCGCGACAGAAGATGAAATATATAAAACTAAGTACTAAAGTGTACTTTGTAAAATCATTCGGGCCAATTTCAAAATTTACAAAGTCTCAGCTAGAAAACGAGTTGGTTGATTATCTATGCAGAATCTGAAGATACAGAAAGTGTTTTCGCAGGTGTTTTCACGCGAAAGGTACGAGAAAGCGAGAAGTGGAACGAATCTCAACGATCGTAAGACTGTCTTAAGAATATTGCATGACATAACGAAAAATGCGGTGGATTTCATGGTACTTTCGTTGTTCTCCGCTTCGTTCGAGGATTCTCATGAATTTTTCAGCTCCTTTAGTGTATTCTATTGTCAGACTTATTAGATGATTAAGCTACCTCTAGATGAAATAGCTCAGTTAGGATTTTGGATAACTGATGTACAGAACGGTGCATTGTTACTTTGAGAAAGTTGAAAGGAAAGCCTACAATTTTTTCTTTTAAATTACCCTCTATATACTTGTGACACTAGGTTACGCGAAGACATACTGAAATATTTGTTCAGAATCCTAGGCCAAGGTACTTTATAATACCAAGTTCGCACGGAAAGCAAGTGAATCCAATAAATTTTATAATGCTTCCCCGGCTGGCCTACATATTAGGCTGATGTAAAATTCTGCTCGAGGTCGAGATGCCTAATGATCATGAAATTTCAAGGGTTTATGTAAAATGAAGGCAAACGTAACCGCATACTGCCGTCATTAATTACGACTTTCTACAGATTCTGTCTCGTCGCTGTTCCTCCTCTTTTTTTCATCAGAAACAAGCTGCCACGCTCCTGGTATAATTAATTTCGTTAATGAATTAAAAGAGAAATCACCTACGTGACTGATTTTAATTACTCCATTCACACGGGAATGAAAGAAAGTTTCATCGTGGGCGTCATTGATTTTCCGATAAACGAAGAATTACAATAACGAAAGAAAAAAAAAAACGAATAATTTAAATATTTAAAATTTAACATGGTAGAACGAGGCCGGGCGATTTCTGTTTACCGAAACGAGCGTGCACTCTAGGTAAAAGCTGCGTTCAGTTACTGGAAAAGTGACGGTGCTAATGCGATTCAGGTTTAAGCAGTTTGAGAGTGCGAAACACTTCGCGCCTAGTTAACTCGAGGTTGCCACGAGGACGTTGATGATCCAGCGAATAAACAGCTCTGCTGAATTTCTAACTAATAGGAAAAGAAAAACGGAACGAGACATATGTTTCCACGTTAAACGCGTTTAACTACGACACAAAGAGACGTAGCATCGCTAGAAACGCTTTCAAACGATTACACTTTCTTGGATCAAGTCCAATGGTACGGTGGTAAACGTATCGACGTCGAAATTCAATTAAGGATAGCACAGATTCCTTTCAGTCCTCCCTAAATGGAATACGAATTCGGCCACGAGCGGTTAACAGACGAAGCGTGCGCGATATCACACTTGAGGTAAATTAATTGCCGAACAAACGATCGGTTCCTCTCGATAGCCAACGATCCCGACACGATTTTACGCTTATCCGCGTACTTGTCCAGCAGATATTCTCACCGAAGCTGATCTGAAATTGATCCGCCTTCGAGCTCAATCATTTCGCCACGTAAATCACGAATATTTAAGAGATTATATCTCTACGATCTTTTGAACTTTTTCCAAAATCATCTAAGATAGCAAGTTTTATAGAAACTTGCTGTTATTGAAAAATCTCTCGATAAGAATGCGATTTATAAGGGAACCTCCTCGGTCGGTTCCTTTAATCGATTAACGCACACAGGTGCACGGATACTAAATTATACGTTTCACGATGATCACTTACACATGTGTTCGCCGAGTGGCCATACTTGCGGCCCGGAATTGACCTCGACGAGGACGGTGGGCGTGCAGATGAGTAGAACGCAAAGGTCGGCCACGCTCAGATTCACCAGGAAGATGTTGGTACTGTTCCTCATGTCCTTACCCCGGAATACCACCAATGGCACCTACGCACACAAGCAAACTATTTACGTAACATTTGTTTCGAAGCGATCTTAGATACAATTCGTCAAACTGACCATAAGATTGCCCACTATACCGAGGGCCATCACTATTATGCAGACAACCATGGACGTGGTGCGAATGTAAGCTGGCAACATGTAAAGTCCTTTCGTTGAATTCTCAGACTCGATCACTGGAAAAATCAACGTTTAACCTTCGGTCAATTTAACAATTTCTTTTTTTTCTTTTTTTTGGACGAAGCTTGAAACAACGAAGGCAGGAAAAATCTCAAAAAAATACAGCTTAGGTAGAGGCGTTGTACCGGATAATCCATCGAGACTGTTGTTCCCAATCACGGTCGCATAGTAGGAGGAATTGAATTCGAGGGACACGCTGGACACGGTGGACAACATTTTCGTCCGGTCTGGGTCCTTGGTCAGGAAGCTTTTCAATCGCGTGTCCTTTCGTCGCTGGTGTCGCAACGATGTCACGATACTTGCTTCGCATCAATCGTTCATCGCGTACGTTCTCGCCACGATTTTTCCAATGTCCCTCGCGCACTCTGTATTCGCGCGACGATCTCTGCTACGATTCATACACGCGCACACGCGCGCCCGCACCACGTGACACGCGTGAAAAGAAAAAAAGTAAGCAAGTTACATTATTTACAGATCACCGGGTTACAAGTGGCGCGTCATCGGTCATCGGAGTCGATAACTTCTGTTTTTTATGTCGGCAGCTTGACGTTCGAACCGACGCGAATCGGCGGCGAAACTGGGCAAACAGCGGCGAACAGGCGCGCAATCGAACGAGCAAAATCCATGGGGTATCGTTGAAGGAAAAACGTCAGGCCCGTTGAACGAGCGTAGGATGATACGGTTTCCTTTAACTTCCAGGCAACCGTGGCTTTCGTTAACGCGCCGGTATTAAGTGACATTATAAACTGCTTCTTCGCTTCCTTCCAACCACACTTGCAACAACGTTAATCAGTTGTCAACCCAGCGGAACACGGGTTTTGTTTTTAAGTTAACACTTTGGTGGATCCTTCGGAATGATGAATTTCAAATTTAATTCATTCGTGTCCCTTTTGGTCCCCTTTCATCCTTTTCACCCACTTCTTTTTTTTTATTTTTCTATCGAATATTCGTGGCTACTTTGTTTAAAAGAAACGCGATAAAAATAAAGAAACGTTTCCAATTTATCGTGGAAATACTTCTTATTCCAGAGGTGAATCTATCCACGGGAGACAAACGTTTCCACCCCCGTATTCATTGCACCGTTCTGCTGTCTATCTTCCATAAGTGCAGTATATGGGTCGGTCGGTTGACATCAATTAACTTTTATGCTATCGAAATCTATTCGAAATCTAATTCTAGCTCCTTTCATCCGATCGTACGTGCCAATTAGATATGAATTGCGTTCACGAAACGACCTACCCTAACGATCTCTATTAATTTTCGCATCCGAAAATAGTTTCCATGTAACCCGAATAATTAACCTGAACTAACTACAGTTTTATTGAAATTTTCTATTTGAGAATATTTAATCGAATATCATATTAACATCAATGAAACACTGCGTCTCTAATTAATGTCGAAATTCATTATACTGTTTGCGATGATTGTTTACTTTATACCGCCAGTGGCTCACGCCTTCCGGTTCCGCAAACAAGATGAACGAAAGCTCATTTTCAAACATTTCTCGTCTTTAATTATACCGTAATTAAACATCGTACAAAATCGTTTCATTCTACCCGACACGATTTCACCCTCTTATGAAAAATTATCTTTACCTGTCGATTCTTGTTGCTCTCGCTTTAGAAGAACAGTATTAATCATTCTCTGTTCTTCTTGATTTTGATTAATGACGAAGCAATTATTCTCTTCAGAGATGTAAAGATAAATAAATGTATCGGTAGTCGGGAATAAATATACCGTTCGCGTATTCCATTATTTGTAGACATAGAATTAATTTGTCGACTCTTGATATAATTATTTTAATAAATAAGGGAATATTTTATTTTCGTCGTATCACTTGGTCATGAAACTTCACAAACTTCTTCTACGCCTGTTTCTTCCTTATACGAATTTTCTTTACACTTTTACCACGACACATCGCGTTTGCGTGTAATTCGTATCGAAATCGGATTTCGAAACATGAAACAGGAGTCGGGAATACACAGGCGAGGACGAGAAATACGAACCGGCCGGATTTCCCAAATAATGACGACCGTCACGAGCAAATAGTACCGGTGAACTGAATGGATATCGCTTGGCCCGCCACGATTCCCGAACGCGTCGCCCTTCGTCGCGCATGCGTGCGCATCTTTTCTTTTCCACCCTTTCGAACGCGTGTTTCCATAACACCCCTGAGATTTTCCTGACCCCTTTGATAAACTCTATTTTTTTTTTTTTTTTTCAAATTTTACCACGCTTTTCACTTTTCAAATAAAATAATTTTAATATAATTTTTTACCAAGCATTGTTGGTTTTAAAATATTTCTTTCAAGAGACTAAAAATTGATGTTTATTCTGATTGTATAATACTTGAGCGACGCGAAAAGAAAAGTGAGAATTGAAAGGAGAATTTAATACGCGAATATTTATGTAGAGGATGGGAAAAGTTTTGTAGATTATTTGGAAATGCCGGAAATGATTGAACATCGGGAGTTCGACTCTAGCCGGCTCTAACGGATCGTTTCGCAAAGTCCAATCGAAAGAAAAACAACGGAAAGATTTCATTTCGAATGTTATCTTCGATTCAGTCGCAAAAGAGCAATTATTTTTATCAATATAGAAATTGTATAAATCCTTTCCGATTCTATATAGTTTTTGTTCTGAGAATCTATAATACCCTTTCTCTAATTGAATTTTTTCCTCAATAATCGTCGATATTGAAACTGTTAGAAAATCTTTCGATCAGAGAATTGAAATGAAATTTCAACCAACGAAGCTTATTTATTGTTGAAATCAAAGGGCGAAGTAACCATCGTAATTCGGGGTTTAATTAATTAAAATTAGTCCCAGTGAAAATTAAAATCACAATCCGGCCCTGGTTGAAACGACAAACGATGAAAGTGTTAAAATTATTCCCGGTGTCATCGGTTCCTTTCACTTTATCCGAATATCCTTCTGTTTGCAGAAAGACAAGCGTTCATAGAACCGTATTTCTCTCGACATTTCGAAAGGATCGTCTGTTGTACGATTTGTTACACGGAGCTGGCAGACGGACTTCGAAAGACGAAGGCAGGCACAGGTTAAACGGAATTCCGTATTAGGAATCCAAGCACATTCCATTCGGCTCTCACAATCCACTTTGTTCGATCGAAGTGAAACGGTTTGTCAATTTCGCTATTTTCAGCTGGAAATGTCAGCCGATCGTTGTTTAGCCGCTTCGTTTCTTTTATCACGAAATAATTCAACCTCGGACCATATACGAAATTTTTCTTCGTACACTTTCTTTTCGATCCTCTCTGTATTATAATTTTCCTCTGTGACATCGTTATCGAAAGAGACGATCAAAAGAGTATTCGCCAAGGGAGCATCGTAAATCATATTCGAAATCTTGTTTCTACGAGTTTCTTTGCAAGTAGATTCGTCGTTCGAAGGAAAAATAAAATCAAACGCGAAAACACGAGACACTGTCACGCATGCCGTGAAATTAAATTTCATAGTTACGCGAGGCGCATTAGTTCGAAAGTTTACCGAATACAAGTTTCATGCTGCATAGTTGGATAAGTGGATTAGTTCGCTACAATGTGATTAGCCGAACCTGCAATCTTTGCGATATTACGATAAAAATTTAATTAACATCCTATTTCACGGAGGTTGAACGGACTAATGGAATAAAATACGAATTTTTGTATAATTTCAATTTCGATCTAATAGGTTTCCAATTCCAATCACAGTTCGATCGGTTTCAGATTAATTCAGATTATTTTGTAACAACATATCGACATCGTCATCTCTCGAGACTTTGGTCAATTAATTTACCGAGGGTGTTTGTTATTCGCTGATTGATACGGGACCCGGAAGAAGCGGTATCAATTCATTTTCACGAATCTTGCGACACGGAATCTCTCGAATATATTGGCCACCTCGAAATTTCTCCGGGGAATCCGGGCCTGTCCCTTGTTTCGCGACCTGGTTAACTGCAATTTACCATTGCCGTCTTTTTAGCAAACAATTTTCACCTGCGCCCACGTGCTCCGTCTCGAGCAACCCATTCCGGAGTTTACAGATCATTTTGCTGCCATTTCGAATCCAAGCTCGAATTTTCGAACAATTAGGCAAGCAATTAGTTGCAGCGAGTGAAAATTCTTCGACGAAAGAAAGGCTGTTCTTCGAAACGATTGAAGACGCAAGTACACCTGGAAAGTACGGAAAGAAACGAGGGTTCCGAAATCGTGCCAGTCGGTTGATTTTTGTGCTCGGTGGCACAAATTTTCGACGAGCTGCACTTTCAACGACATTAGCCTGTATTCATACACCCGTGTCCCGTATGACAGGATCATTTGTATCTTGCTCGTCCAGACGAATCGAAGATAAAGATACGGTTTCTCTGATCGCACTTTGGTGAACGCGCTCGACGAAATATGTATAGGGTATCGTGTAAAACGAGCCGACACGTCGCGTCCCGTCGGCTCGATGAATTAATATAACGAGCCGTAGGGTTTCGTGTGACACGAATCAACGGGATGCAAACATTTAATGGCGAGAGCACGTAATCGAGGGAACAGGGTGTCCTTGTTGCATCGCAAACCCTCGACATCCGGTTAAATTGTAATCGAATAAAGTTCACCGTATCTCGCTCTTCGCGCTAAGAAGCCTTATAACGCGTTACTCGAAGTGAAAAAGAAAAAAAAAAACAGCAAATCGAAATGAAAAAATGATAAAAATATGCTAGCTTGTAAATGACAGGACTGAAAGAGAGAAGTCAAGAATCGTATTTTAAACGAGTACCTGATCGATCAATCTTCCGATTGCCGCTTCACTGAACTCTGATTAATATCTGCAGAAGAAGTTCCGTTTCTCTGAACAGGATGGCTTGTGTCCAACATCTTCATCTCACCGATGTCGCCTTTGAGAACTCGTATTTTATCACTTCAACTCGCTTCCAACGCGTCGACATCTGGAAAAAAAAAGGAGAGACAACGATCTTTTAGAACGATACCTACAACGGAACAGATTTATCAAAATCCTCTTCTGTTTCTTCTTTAAGCCTTTTAACTTTAGACTTTTTTCTTTTGATTATTCGATGATACTGAATTCAAGGTGATAGTATAAAATATTATTAACAAAATATATAAACAACGAGAGTGTACAAGTTGGATGAAATATCACAGTTATTCAATATAAGCATGACGAGTTACCAAGGAGTAAAGTTTAATTGGATTTTTCCGAGCTCTCGTGTTTGCAGAGGAAATCGCATCAGAGAGGATTTAGTTCCGTGTCGCCTTAAAAGAAAAAGTTTATAGATTCTTAATTAGCCCCTAAGAACATCGACATGATTTTCGTTTTCATTGATCACTGGTGACCACCCATGGCAATCAACAGGTTGAGGGTGTTTTCTATCATGCAGCTACCCTCGCACCCCTATGAATTCTAAATGAAAAATTTCAGAAAAATCATCATTTGCGAAAACTTTCTTAGATCTAAAATCGCGTAGTTTTCGGTTCGTTTCACGTCAACGAACTAAGAAACACGTAAATCAAGATGGAAACATGCATAGAAAGGATCTACGATACGAACGAATCGTTGAAGGATTTACAAAACGTCGGACAGATGTATGGATAAACAGACACGATGCGTCGACGACTCGCGAAACATTTTGGAGATGATGTTTGAGGATTCGAGGAAGACTCGGTTTTAAAAGATTCACTGTTATTGTTGGTCCCGGGCCAAGCTAAGTAATGCCCGGCGTGACGCAAACACATCAACCCTGCCTACGCCATTTGCCTTTTCCTTTCAACCAAATTTTTTGCTTGTTTCAGCTTTTCAATCGTAAACGTATCTACCATGTTGATGGAATTAGTATTCTAGTCTCGTAGACGTTCCCTCTATTTCACGCGATTTCGATGAAACAGCGTTTCTGAAAAATCCGACGAAACTTGATCTTAGAAACTGGCCTCGATGTTTATTTTTAATCAGCCGGCTATTCAGAAATATTCTAACATTTTTCTAGCAATTTTTTTTTAATATTTCAAATTTATTTTCATTCTTTTGGAGAAATAAGTTTAGAGATACCATCAAGCGAAATTTGACTTACCTTTAAATTTCTGTTTTTAGTGAAAAGTGTTTTAAAAGTAATAATTTTGTAAATATTTGCGAGTGGCGCCAGCTAACGAGAAGTCTGCGAGCGAATATTGTCCCCTGATTTCTACTGCCACCTGCTTCGCCTTCCAATAAATCTATTTTTATCGAATCTTATGCAAATGAGTTTCAAATTTATTCTCAAACTAATAAATATTCTAATGGAGAAGAAACAAAACATGAGAAGGCGTACCTGGTTCCGTTTAATTAGAATAAAAATACACTTAGATTTAATAAAAATATTAAGTAAAACATCGTCGAACGTAAAAGTTAATCTCTGGCAAAAGAAATTTCGCAGAATCAATTTCGCGAATTATATTTCCATCTTCAGAAATCTCTTCTGTTACAACATTCTATCTAGCTGCACGGTAAAATTCAATTTCATGTTACATCGCGTTCGCATATTTCACTTTGTTTGTTGCTTAACCAAACGCTACTTGAGAAACTACAACAACGACACATCTCGTCTTACGTAAATAAATAAATCTCTTATTCCTGAGGGATTTCAGTTAAGAAGCATGCACAGACACACAGACACGCGTTGCAAGCATACATAATAAAAGGAAAAAGAATTCAAGGTGAAATATAAGTAATCATCTTCGCAAGGTGTTCGATATTCTACTTATACAGCGGATCGTGGAATCATAAAAATGCTTGAAACGTGTGAACCTACATTAACTAACTCATCTTGTGTGGCAATTAAACGATTATCAATTAGAGAAAAAAAAAAAAACGATTTCATGATTGCGCGACTGAGAAAAAAATGATCTCAGATGCAACAAATAAATTTTTCATCGAATGATGAGATACTATAATCTTCCCCAGGAAGAATAATGTCCCGCATTCTCACCCTTCTCCGTGAATATTTAATAATTAAAAGTTGTACTATTTTTTCAATAAATATTTTATAATAAAATACTTTGAAGAAAAATTAAAGGAAATTCTCCCAGGAACAATGAAACGTCTAATTTTCTTCGTAATAAAATGAAAGAAAAAGGAAACCTCATAGCGAGGAAAGATAATATCGCAACGTTTTCAATTAACCGTTTCCTTTTTCTCGATTGCACCACTGCCAGCAAAATACCCCGTGCATGAACATTCAATTTTCCCTGGCAACATGTCATTAAATATT